ACTATCTGGTTAGTATGAGGCATAATAAAACTGGTTAATATGAGGATTAAAGCCACTAATGTTAACTCTAGAGCAAATGACATGGTTAGCACTAAAGACATCGCCCACCAACGGTTGTATATTGTGGCCTTCCAAGAGGGCAATGCGTAGAGTGTCGGACCAGAAAGCAGTAGACCAGGATTCGAGACTGACACAAATTTTTTTTTTACTCTATCTTTTGGTTATTTACACATTCATTGTCATTGATATATTAACCCACTAGGGGGCACTGTCAGGACAGTCTGAAGCCTAGAAGGAACAGTAGGGACCCTCTGAAGCCATTGTATGGGACTGACAACGCCCAATAACGTCCATTTCATTGATAACATCAGAATTCCTCGTAAGTTCTGTAACATAGTAAATGTGTTTAGTTATTATAAACTAATGGATGACAATTGTGCTTGCCAGCATTGTAGCCTCTGGATTTCCTTGTACTCTGGTTTAAGTCCGTGTTCCAGGTGATTAGATATATTTGTATGGTTAGCGTTAGCTACACTACACTACCTTCCACCAGTGTGTTCACACGCACACCTGATAGTGCGAGTGAATCGCACACAGAAATATGTCATCACTTGGCACTAAGTGCAAAATGGCAAATATTAATTGTTGATAGTTTCCCTTGTTTGCACAGGATATAATGTTGCCCAACCTTAGTGGCAACCATCTTGAATTGAATAATCAGCTGTTTCTGTAAACATCTGAAAGTTTCACTGCAATCCATCCAGTAGTTAATGAGATATTTTATTATAAACACACGTGATGACGCACACATGAGCAACATTATCACAGCTGGGGGAAATAAAAAAATAGTTTTTTACCCCTTTACAGTGGATTATCTTAATGTTTGCCCGCCTGTTTCTGGGTGTTTGTCTTTTTCCTGGTGGAAGTCTGGCCTGATTAGTGAGAAAGGCTCTGCAGGAGTTCTGCCTGTTACCTTCCAGCGTGTTTACCACCGAGAGAGCATTCAGCCAGACCAATCAATGCCTATTATACATTCATTATAAATGCCCCGAATTTTCCCCTTTCAAGTCCCTCTTTTCAACATTCAATCTTCAAATAGAAAATCTCAGAAGAATAAATTAGACAAATCAAATATGCCAACTTAAACCCTTCATTAAAGAAGTGCACCGCTTTTCACTTGTGCTATTGAGGGACTTTATTATCCCCTCATTAACATGAAAGGAACATTTATAATACATCTTAGAGCAGATGAAAAGTGCATTTGGGTGCACTGGAAGGAAAAACATGCGTAGGCAGCGGCTGATTGGGTGCTCTGCTGATGAAAGGATAAAAATGAAAGATTTAACCCTTCTGATCTGTGAGTGAACATGAAAATAGACAGAATCAGACACACTAACTGAAAGCTTTATTGTGCGTCACTTTAAATCACTGACTCACTTGCCAGCTAATTATTTTACTGTTTAGTCCTCGAGGCATCACAGATAAATCACCCATACTGCAGTTGTTTACTTTACTGATTGTATTTATATATATATATATATATATTTTTTATCAGGCCACAAAACTGAGTTGAACACTTATGAAACTTATATGGTTTAAACAAGTGATATGTTCTGGTGTATTTTACCAGGTTATTTAACACAGGGGTTCTTAACCTTTTTGACCTCGGGGCCCAATTTGTTGAACATAAAGTGACACGAGGCCCAGTCAGACGTTACTAATGTATGGATAAAAATGATCCATCCATCCATCCATTTTCTGTACACGCTTCTTCCTTTTCAGGGTTGCGTGGGTCACTGGTGCCCATATCCAG